TTCCACTTCAAAAGTAAAGTACATGTTTGATTTGGAAAGGCTTTAAAATGATCAGCAACTGAAGAAACAGAAATAGAAAGACTTTGTACTAACAACCTCCATTTTTATACTGTTTCTTCCACCTTCCTGTTATAGCAACTGTACAGTGTGTCCAAATATTACTATGCAGTTCAATAAGCACCAAAGTAAGACACAATGCCAGTATGGAAACAGACCCGGTCAGACACACCCCTCCCCTTCTCCAAGATACAAGCATTATGTTAAGGGTGTGGCTGTTACTTAGCTCTGCCAGCACAAGGCAATGCAGTGTGAGAGAGGGGCTAACCCCACACTGCAAGGGTTAACTGTTTTTTTTTATCTAGGGACTCAAATAAAAAAATATTTACTTACCTGACCCTCAAACCCACCTGGCTGGTAAAATGCTCCACACAGCCTCTTCTCCCCTGTGCTCCGGTGGTCTAAGGACCCATGAAATCATCATGTCTAATGTAGTCTATAGGATGTGATGATGCTGAGGGACATACCACAGCTGGAGTGTAGTGGAGGGGAAGATAGGCGAGCGCTCGCTGTCACAGGAGCAAGGATCAGGTGAGTAAGGGTTAAGTTTTAACATAACTGGAGTTCCTCCTTAAGTGGGATTGAAGTTTACCCCCAAATATAAAGCAGTATCTTAGATACCACCAGGTCCGTGTATGCAGCAACTCTGTGCTAAGTTGACATGTACATTTTGTTTTGTTCCAAATGGATATTTCTATGAATTTCGTTAAATTTCGACATTTGAATGCATCCAAATTTCTGAATTCCGAATGCAAACGAATCCAAAGGGTCATTTAACGTAATTTCGGGTTCCATCCGAATTTCGGTCAAAATGAAACTAAATCGGACATGTGACTGTTCTCTGGCAGATCAGCTGTTTTTTTATTGGCTGCTGGGGGATGCATTGTCATGTGATTTTCATTGTCAAATGTGGATTTCTGTTGTGGATCGTTCCGAAACGAAAATTCAGAGGGATCCAAAATCCCAATAACGAACTGAATTTCGCATCCGAAATCCGAATAGACCCGGAACGAAACATATTTTTGCGGGGATACATGTCTAGTGCTAAGCACAGCTTCTGATGATGTCACTACACATACCCCTAGTCCCTAGAAACTCCTAGGGACCTAGGCTAGAAACTCATTTCAAAAACTAGAGGGATCAGCTGTGTGATCCATATAAACTAGGCTTAGTGCATAAGTAGAACTATGGCATGCTGGCTTCCTTAATCCTAAAACTCTTTTTGCAATGCTTTTTTTTTTTTACTGTAAATGTAGGGAAAGTGACTAAGCCTCTTATTAGACGACCTTGCAGTGTGCACTTAAACATTTGTTTATTAAAAGTTGTTGAAACAAATTTTAAAAAATTACCAATAATTGAAGCACATTGAACTAGAAATATTATCTAAGGTGAGGGAAATGCCCTCTGGTATAAGTGTTCCCACTGGATGATTTCCCCTCACTTCCTGTTTTGGTGATAATTCAGTTTGGATGTCCCAGTTTTCATTGAAGAACCTGGCCTTGGAGCAGCAGGGAGAGTAAATCCAGTCCTGCGCCCACTGCCCGTTGTTTACATTCAGCAAGATGTAAATAGAGAGTTTTGTCAGCAACTAAATAAATGTTGTTGCAAACAAAATTTTATGGTGTCCATGTGCCTATCAATCAACTGGCAAAGAAAACCGAGGACACATTATGTCCTCAATATTTTTTGGCCAGTTGCTTGAGTGCCAGTTGCTTGAATGACAGATCATTGGGAGTTTGCTGTATATATGCATTTAAGAAAAAGTTTATTCAGGGTTAGCAGAAGCAAACATTGCCTTGAGGGGTAATCAAAAACACGATACTTGTGGAAAAGTATCTTTCGGTGTAACTTGGTACTTGGTAACTTGAAAACTTGGTTTAATTGCCGTGCCTTCATTTTCACATGAACATTATGTTACATTGGTAATAGAAGTAGATCTATTATGTGTACGTACGTATGTGTGTATACAGTACAGTATACATGTATTAGTGTGTGTATATAATATATATATATATATATATATATATGTGTGTGTGTGTGTGTGTGTGTGTGTACACAATGTTGCCAAAAGTATTGGGACACCCCCTTCAAATCATTGGATTCAGGTGTTCCAATCACCTCCATGGCCACAGGTATATAAAATCAAGCACCTAGGCATGCAGACTGCTTCTACAAACACTTGTGAAAGAATGGGTCGCTCTCAGGAGCTCAGGGAATTCAAGCGTGGTACCGTGATAGGTTGCCACCTGTGCATTAAGTCCATCCGTGAAATTAAGGTTTTAAAACCTTGTATAACATGTAAATATATATGTACATGGGTATAGACATATTTTTTTATGCAAGTCTGAGTTGCCCATCGCATTGAAAGCAATGCACTCCCTCTGTAGCTTTTTTAGCATTTCTCCTGCTTGAGGTTAATCTAAAAGTTCAATACAATACAATAATATAAATAGGAAAGAAAAGCAAGCTTAAAAAATATTACGGTCACACCAACAGTCAGGTATAAGTAAACATTGCAATAAAACATCAACTATGTGTCTGGTGATAATACATTTTTAAAGAATAAGATTTTGTTTAAGATTTTTCACAACAGTATTGAAATAGGAGTATATCTCAACAGTGGAAACTTCAAGTAGGTATAATTTGGGTGAATGAGACATTCCAATATCAAAATAGTGAACAATGTGACATGTGTATCAAAATTGATAGATCAATTCAGTGGGTTTATCAAGGGGATCCCTAAGGGACTGTGAGTTTAGATGTAAGAGATCATATGACCATGTGTACAATGGAGGGCCATGTGTATAACAGAGAGTACTGTAGTTAGTGGCTTACAAATTCCAGAAACGTTCATAATGCATGTAGACTATCTGTGATGCTCACACAGTGGTAAATTGTTGGTATGGATCATAAATATGCGGTTTCAGTCTTTGTAGGTTAATGGTGGAGCAGGGGTCAGAGTTGTTGTGTCCATTCGTAAATAGTCTAGCAAGTTAGGGAGTTATAGTGTCTGGGAATGAGAGCGCAACAAGAAAAACCGGATCAAGCTCTTCTTCTATCAAGATGGGGACCTGGAATAATATAGGGAAGGGCTCTCTGGGGTGACATGGGCATAGATGACCCTGTAACATGATGATGTAGGTAAAAACTTAATTCCAGAAAGGTTGGAGCCTCAGGCATAGATCCAATGTCATTCGTGCAGCGCCAGCATGTAGGTGATCTGTCTGGGAAAATTCTATGTAGTAAGCTTGGGTATCTATACCATCAGGTCAGGATCTTGTAGCCCCTTTCCTGAGCTGTGCTAGCTAATGATATTTTGTGGGTAGTAAACAAGAGGTATGTATTTCATCATAAGTCAAGGAGTCTATGGAATTGGGTTTGAGTTCCCAGAGCCTGGTAGAAGTCTCTTAGTTGAAAGTGTTCGAGCCCGTAGTAATGGACATGTGGCTGATCAACCCTATGGTCGATCGGGTAGTAAGCCTGAGAGGCATTTAAGTGTTTGGGAGCTTAGGGCTGGGGCAATCAGAGAAGGTTCATGTTTTTCCCAGTGAAGGAAAGCAGTAGATATTGTGCTTGGTTGAGGGGTGCTTGGTTACCATTGATAGGGTTATAGGGCCTAAGTGAGTGGAAATCTTGCCAGAATTAAGTAGAGAATCCCGTGTTTTCTTTAATGGCGATAGGCAGAATGGGAGACATCAGGAGTGTGAACGAAGGGGTGATAGGTTCAAAGGAAAGGAGAATAGGAGAGATGTGGGCCTCAATGGATTCCCAAAGTTTATGGTGCTTTCTGAGTCTAGTTGCATCTAGTTAGAATTGCGTAGCTTAGTCTGGCTGGTTTATTGGCCCAGATATATTTGAGAAGGACAGACCCAAACTTACGGAATTTGGTTAACAGTGACGGGAAACCTATTCAAAGATTGGTAACATATAGGAGGAGATCATAAACATAGAGGACAATTTTCTTTTGAGAATTTTGGATAGTTATCCCTTGGATGGAGGGATTAAGTCTGATTGCTTTTGCTAGTTGTTCCATGGCCATTGTGTAAATATAGGGCACGGGTGGAGACCTCTGTCTGGTTCCATTTTTTATATAGATGGACTCCCTAAAATGTTCCATTATTTTGACCCATGCCATGGGACAGTGGTAGAGAGCATGGAATTTGTTCATTTATAAATAAAGAGAAGCCAGTTTGGTAGGGGGCTGAGAAAAGAAAGTACCAGCTAAGCTGATCAAGTTCCTTCCTGGTGTCGACAGACAGCATGCATGGAATGAGGAATTGTATGGGTTTTATCATGGTGTATAGGAGTCAAGGTTTTAAAGGTATTGTCCCTAGCTTCTTAGTGGAGGACAAAGCCAATCTGTTCCTCATTAATTAGGAAGGGGTTGTACTACCATAGCCTATCTTTGATTATTCTTGCTTACATTTTATGATCAATGATTGCCCAAAATTCCCAGTGGCACTGGTCAGAGCATATTGGGTCACAAGAAATGGAGCTGAGATTTCAATTTGCATTATTTAATAATGCTTTAAAACTCTTTATAGATTCAGAAGACATGTTTTTTTTTTGTTTTGTTTTTTAATTAGAAACATGACATGGGTTTATTTCTGTCATATAACCCTTAAAGAGAGAAGCTGTGAGCATATAGAATCTGGCAGTGCTAACTGGTTTTTAAAAGGTGCAAGCTCCGGGCTAGTCACTGACCTGGGCAATGTTTGCAGGGTAAGGGTAATGGGCAAGGGTAATTCTAATTGGTCCATGCTTGTTTCGGGACAGTGATATAATAGGTGAGAAAGCCAGAATCAAGTTGATAGCCCTGTATCATGCACTTTTAATAAACAAGCCAGCAATGACTTCTAGGTTCCTTTAGAACACACTACAAAATGTTTTTTGTTTTATTCTTAAACTAGATTCTGATTTAAAATATATTTTTTTTCTTTTAGATCTTACAGGTGAATAAGGTGATGTCCATCCTGTTCTGTGTGATGTTTCTTCCTTATCTTTGCGGCATCCACGCTACCACCATGGATAAGAGGAATTTGCCCGAAAACTCAATGAATTCTTTCTTTATAAAGCTCATGCAAGCCGACCTTGTAAAAAACAAAGTTTCCAAACAGGTGGCCAACGCCAAGGCAAACCACCAGCAAAATACAATACCAAAAGCAGAAATCATCATTGACCTGGATATGGTTGATGACAGCCTTGAAAGTGGGAAATCGGACTTTCAGCCGGTCGCCTCATTGGAAACAGAACTGTTTAAGCATCAGCGACAGAGACGTTATAATTCGCCACGTGTGCTGTTGAGCGGGAACTTACCCTTGGACCCTCCACCCTTGTATCTAATGGATGACTTTGTTGGGCATTCTCACTCAACAAATAGGACGTCAAGGAGGAAAAGATACGCAGAGCACAGGGGCCACCGAGGTGAATTTTCGGTTTGCGACAGCGAGAGCTTATGGGTCACAGACAAGTCGAATGCCATTGATATTCGGGGGCACCAAGTAACTGTTTTGGGGGAAATTAAGTCTGGCAATTCACCGGTTAAGCAATATTTTTATGAGACGCGATGTAAGGATGCAAAGCCAGTCAAAAACGGATGCCGAGGCATTGACGACAAACACTGGAATTCTCAATGTAAAGCATCCCAAACTTACGTCCGGGCATTGACTTCTGAAAACAACAAACTGGTGGGATGGAGGTGGATCAGGATAGACACATCTTGCGTTTGCGCATTATCGAGAAAAATCGGGAGAACATAGCTTTAACTCTTCACTATATAAATTATTACTTTAAATTATATAATATGCATGTAGCATATAAATGTTTATATTGTTTATATATTATAAGATGTTCTTATTTATTAAATTTCAGCAAACTTATATAAGCTTTATCTCCCCTCCAAACAGATCCCAAGGCCTGTGCCTTCTGTAGGGCATTTAAAAAAAACAACAACAAAAAAAGTAAACTTGTGATTCCACTGCGAGCAGTATATTTGACCCAAAAACGATGTGTCAGTATTTGTCATACAGTATTTTCTTTGCCAGTGACTTTTCAGACTTTTCAAATTCCGCTATATATAAGATGTATAAATTGTATGCACATTATATTCAATTTCAATATATTTTACCTCGACAATTAAAAAAAAAAAGTAATATTAAAAAGAGAATACAAGTTCCATTGCAAAACAAATGGTAAGATTCCAGTGATGTTATACATTACTTATTTTGCTCCTTTGTATATATAAGATTTTGTTTTATCGACATAGAGTTTTTATAATTCTGGATTTCTAAAACATTGTGCGTTTTTAGCCCAAGATAGATACTATTATTGATAAAATTTGCTATAAAGTGGGTCACGTTACTGCCAAGCTTAACTACCTTAGAGGAAAAATAAATAAACCGTATATATATATATATATGTGAAAATTATCCTAGAAAAAGAGAGAATGTTGAATTTGCTCCAGTACATTTTAAGAGCATATTCCTAAAATATTAGTTCTGGGCTTTTAGATTTGAAAATGCCATTTGGACTGTACTTTTAAATATGCATAAAAATGGTTATTTTGCATTTCTGCTTTGAAATTTTTGGAACAAATGTCTACAAAAGCACGGTGGTTGTGTAAGGTCTTGTTCACATTGAATGCGTTGGAAAACACAAGAAATAACATGTTTGTCTGTGGGTGGTGATGCAATGTTTTTGATACATCCAATGAGCTACTATGAGCTCATCTCTCTGTCATTCGACTTTCTTCTCCTTGTCAGCACATTAATTGATTGGCTTCTTGTGCTAAATGTCCCTCTCCCAGTCTGAGCTCTGCTGTACAGAGGACTGCAAGAGACTCATACCAAGTCAATTATAGGTACTTAAACTGATTGGATTTAAAAAAATAAATGTAATGATGTATACATGATTACAGAGCTGCATCAATATTTGCATTTTATATCTGCCTGGAGTTCAGCTTTAATGTAAAATGACCTAATTAGGTGCAATGCAGATTATCAGTGCAAATGGCCCCTATGGCATTGACATTTAGGTTAGCTGAGACTAACAGGGTTATTCACAAAAGGGTAAAGAGTTTGGAGAAGGCAGGAGAAGTGAACAATCTAGGGCAAGATAGCTGAACTCGAAAGTGAACTGAATTGGACATATATATATATATTTATTAAGATTCATGGCTGCTAGTGATAGTCCAGTTCCACTAGTTTATTTATATATCGGGACACAGCACAGCATGTGAAAGGTTATCTTACCAGCCAAAATGTTTATAATTTGATCTGGCAGTCCTGAAAATGTATACCGCCCTGCCAGCCAGCACAGCCAGATTGCTGACCCTACTTTACTGTCCTGCATTTCAAGTAACACTAAACTCAGGAGTTAAATATTAGAAATGCATTCAAGTATCTTAACTATTAACGGAAATGTCTCTTATTTGTGTATCACTCGGCTGTAGATCCTCAAATCATCTCTAAATTGGTGCTGACACTGTTCTTCCTTCTGGAGGGTGGCTACTTTTGTTCCCCATGGTCCCTGTGTGTGTTCTAAAGTAGCCACCGCTCTATTCTTACTCCCGTGATGGACTACAATCTCAATACAAATTAGTAAACTAAACGTGAGATTGCAGTCCACCATGGGAGTGAGCTTGGAGCAATGACTACTTTACAACACACACGGACCATGGGGAACAAAAGTAGCCCCCCTCCAGAGGGAAGGACAGTGTCAGCACCAATTCAGAGCTGAATTGAGGATTTACAGCTTATGCGAGTGTACAGAGTGATACTCAAAACGGCTACATTTTTGTTAATAGGTTAGGTACTTGAATGCATTTTTAAGGTTTAACTCCAGTGTTTAATGTCACTTTAAACAATACAGCTTGGTCACCATCCCTGTACCCTCTGTTTAACTGAACGTTAAAGAAAAAGCAGCATACCGATGAAGACAACTCTCTCCTACTGTCAGCATGTTCTCAGCAGAGTCTTAATGGATCAGAGTACTTAGTCTCTCTCTCTACTGTACAGATGATTACAAGAGGCCGATTTCAGGACCGATTCAGTTTATTACATTTGTTGCATTTGAAAGTATATATTATTCTATGTCTAATGAAGACATAATTGCATTCTATGGTGTTTTTATACTGTACATCTCTGGTGTTCAGCATTGGTTCTTGCCACACCTTTTGGTCCCACCTCCACTAGGAAAAAGGTCTATTCACATTCACTATGAGAAGAATCTCTACAACTTTAGGGCTTGTGTATATGGGCGAAAGGATTTTGCTTTCAGGTGCATCAGGGTACACTTGAGATCAGTTTGAGACCTTTTTGAGATGATCGTCAGTTCCTTCACAGGTGCATTTTAGCTCTTTTTAAGCGGCTCCAAACTGTTTCAATCTATTTTTGCGTTTCCATTGACTTGGGGAAAGAAGCAGTTCTAATGCAAACAAAAGCCCATGTACACAGGTCTTAAGTCACAAGAAGTGACAATGAGTAGGTTCATAGTAACTGACCCTCTTAAGGTCCCATTTACATGGCCATGGCCATGGATCAACATAATTCTGTGGTGGTGCTGTATGTCCGGGTGTTTCCAATAAGCTGCAGACAGAAAGCCTGTAAAATCAATGATAGGCTGATGGTGTCCATGGCTGTTCGCAGGTAATTGCTCAAGGAGGTTAATGTGGAAGTAAAGTTTTTTTTTTTAAATTGACGATTGGCTGGCTTTCTATGGCAAAAGAGACCGTGTAAGTCTCTTCTGCCATAAAAGCTTCTTTTTACCATTCAGCAATTTTCTTTTTTCTGTAGCTGCAGCTCAGTGCACAGACCTGGCATGCTGAGATATATGAACTCCCCATTATCGGGGCCTGGCCAATCAAGTGGCTGAACATTCAAGATCCCAAAGAAGACCAGGGAGAGCGAAGTGCATCACTGGAGGGGATCAGTTTGGCAAGTAAGTCTGCAATAAAGTGATTTTATGTTGTGCACACAAGCACATTATGACTAAAAGCTCCTGGGAGCCCCGTTTAACATTCAAGAGGAATGCTCATACAATAGCTCAGATAAATAGACACCTATGTTTTTAAAACATGATATAAAGTCATAATGGTTATAAATTATATAAAACAGATTGTTTTATATCACAACAAAGATAAACGCAAATATGACGGGTCCCCTTTGAAAATTGTTCTGGCCGAGAGTGCCTTGGTTCAGTTCGCTTGGATGTCCACTGAATGCAGCCAGAAATCTGGGTTCAGGAAGCTCCAAGCACACTAATCCCAGGGCTGTCCGTGTCCTGGAAACCAGTGGCGCTGTGTGACCCTGTTTGGCACTGAGTGAAGAACATGTTGAGAAAAGTGTGGAGGTCATTCAGACTGAACAGAGCCCCAGTCTCTAAATGGATAAGAAATGAGCAGCAGCAGCACACAAACAAGGTCACCCCACTGCTCTCCCCTCTAGTAAGCCGTAAAAGAGCTGAAAGTGATATTAAACCTTCATTAAAAAAATATACATGTAGACCCCAGCACTTAACTTGCTTGCATGTCCATTTCCGTTTTCCCACCATGGCTGCTTTCAAATCTTAATGTGAACACTTTTTCCTCTGACGATCCTGCCTTTGAGGTGCTCCATCCCCTTTCAAAGACCCATGGAGCCACCTATGCATGCGTGCTCCCGCCCGGATACATGGGTGCATGTGTTTACATCCACTGAAGCCTATAGTCCCAGAGGCAAGCCACTCCCCTGCTCCTCCCTCCAGCTGCTGATTTATAGTGGCTGGAGTCTGTCCCTATATGGGAAGGGCACAGGCAGCGTGTTCCACTGCCCAAATGTGCAAGAGAAGCAGCAATGAGGACCTGGAGCCGCTGGCGGTGAACCAGTACGATCATTCATTTTTTGGGCACCTTTTTAAGGAAAAAAATTACTGGGTAATGTTGCACTGCTTGACATTACCCAGTACATTTAAAGAGAACTATGGGGCAATGTTTTTTTCCATACTTCTCTTTTGGGTCACGGGAGGACATATACCGGGTCCTCCCAGGACCCAAAACTTAGCATATAGCGGGCTATTGCCTGCTATATGCTGAGAGCGCCACAGCCGGGAAGGATCCCTACAATACTGTCAAGATCCACCCAGCTGGCTGACTGACAGCTGGCTCTGCCTCTCTAGAGGCACCCGTCTGCTCTCACTATGGGGATAAGTGTGATTTACTCATCCCATAGTTCTCCTTTAAAAAAAGGGTTTAATATCCTTTTTTAAATGTTTAATAATACTTTAGAGGGTTTAATAGTACTTTAATCATAGAGTCTACGGTTAAACTCTTTGCAAGTTTAATGTGTTGGAGGGCAGAGGTTCGGGGCAGATCTGCAAGAGCTCCAGATGGTTGAATAAAAGCTTTCTTATGGCTTTTTATTATTGAGTGGACCAATGGTGTTTTTATATATACCTAGAGTGCAGCTTTCATACTCCCTTTCAACCAAGCCTTTTTGTGTAAGAGAAATGTTCTTTATTACATGATACATTTGCATATTTTACTCATTTGGCTCTATTAATGACCATAGTTCTGCAACAATCCTGTTTTCCACTCATGTTTCTGACAGATGTTTTGCACAGTTCAAAGCCGTAGCAAAATCTGAAACATCCTCCAAGTAGCCTTATTCAATATGTTTTGTGTTATTTTCTGTATAAAATAAATGTGTCTTCTGATATGGAAAAAAAATCATTTCCCTAATCTTAATGGCTTAATGGTATCACATAAACAACTAAGTAAGCTTGCCAATTACCAATATTAAGAAACATACTCAAAGAGGAATATATTAAAAATCTAAAGGCTTTTACTCAATCCAGCATCGTTCCATATGTAGAAAGGGGTGGCTGTGGGGCATGTGAGGGAGGGGAACAATATCCCCTCTTCTCTGGTGTGGTGTGATGGTGCAGCTCTCCTTTCAGCATGCATACTGGTCTACGATAACTAGATTGCCTTATACGTGTAACTCTGGCAACAGTTACTACGTTTTGGATTAATAGATTGCCATGGGTAGATTATTGTCAAACAATTTCTAAACCCAAAAGCAGATATGTAACACATTGCAGGTTACCAGTCCTTACATTGCATTAGTTTTCTTTTTTAGACAATTTTTTTCCTTATTTTCACCTGGCGATCCGTCCAGTGAGTCTGTTATTTTTTAACTTCCTTTTACTTACCAAGCTGTCCAGTTTGCTGTAACGGCTCAGAAAGTGTTTTTGTTTGCCTAGTCTAAATTTACTAGTCCA